TCTTCCTATTTATGAGCGTTCTGCAGGTGTTGGGATCCATGCTGACCATTACAAGATAGGGGGAGAGAACAACAGAAAGATCCTGTTCCTATCTGGAGAAGCCTCATGCCTTGCTTGGAAAGATAGACCACACGCTAAACACATACTTGGCTCTTGTGTATAAGCTGCATCTCCTGCTGGCAGGGCATCAGTTGGGTTGGTTGGTGTGAATTCTGAGCCCCTTTCTGTACACTCTCAACTCACCTATCACACCCAGTTTGGGATCCTTCGGCTTAAACAAGATGGAAAATATTGGGAAAGAGCCAGAATAAATGTATGATATAAATTGCTCCATGACACTCAAATGGTAAGAAATGTCACATTTATTTTTCTAAATCAAAATACATCTGATGCATGCGTCCACTCTCTCAGATGTGGAGAACCCAGGACCAGTTGTCGGATTCTGCGTGCTCCTTATGTAAGAAGTCTTGGGCTTGCGGGGCAGCACGGTCTGTCCTCATCTCTCAGTCACTGCCGTCTTTTTGAGGGAGGGTGGCTTCCCTGGCATCTCCTTCTCTCCATGCCAGGCTTGGCCTTGGGGACTGTCACGGAGGGTCTCAGAGTCACAGGGATCCCTCTCCACAGGCACTGAGCATCCTGACTCTGCCCATCAGGCTGCCTGTGTGTGCCTGGGCTCAGGCCACTCCTGGTGTGCCATTTGTGCAGACCCCTTGCAAGTGGAGGGAGACCATCCTGGGGGGCAGGGCTCTACTTTTAACCTCAAGCTCACAGTGCCTATCCCCTCCCAACTGCTAGGCCACCAGCCAGAGTTCCTTCCGGGGCCTTCATCTTTGAAACCAAGGGCCTAACTATAGGTTATCTCCCTGGCAAAATCCTCTGAAGCGTCCTACAGAAAACCAAACAACAAAACAGACAGCAAGAACACCTTCCTCTGACACACAAACACACACACACACACACACACACGGTAGGCAAACCAAGTCCTTTGGAAATGAAAATCTATTCCCCTCCCGCCATGTATAAGGGTGTTTATATTGTGGAGGCTGAGAGCATGGACCACTTCAATTCACATCCCAGCTCTGCCATCTATTAGCTGACTAACCGTGGGCAAAATGTTTAACCTCTCTGTTTTCTGATGCTCAAACTGGGGGTGATAACTACATCACTGGATGTTGAGTTAAGGCTGGTAAAGCGTTTATTTAGTACAGTGCCTAACAAGCACCCCCAGGGTAGAAGCACTAGGAGCACTCAGTCTGCCCCATTCCAGCTCCACCCTGGGTGTGCAGAGCCCTCTCCCGAGGCCTAGGCAGAGACGGAGGAAGTGGTCCTGAGCATTATCAGGGTGTTTGACAATGAAACCCAGCCGTTATGGGCTGAAGTGTGCCTTACCCCCAAATTCGTACATCAAAGCCTTAACTAACCTGAGCCCGTCAGAATGTGACTGTGTTTGGTGACAGGGCCCTTGAAGAGGCGATGAAGTTGAAATTCAGCCATTAGGGTGAGTCCTAACCCAATGTGACTGGTGTCTGTATAAGAAAAGGAGATCAGGACAGACAGACAGACACCAGGGACGTGCAGAACATACGATGACCCTGTGAAGAGGCAGCAAGACGGCAGCCATCTGCAAGCTGAGGAGAGAGGCCTGGAACGTACCCTTCCCTCCCTCGTGGCCGCAGAGGACACCACCCCACGGCACCTCAACCTTGGACTTCTGGCCCCCAGGACTGGGAGAAAATGAACTTCTGTTGTTGAAGCCCCCAGTCTGTGGGGTCTGCTATGACGGCCCCCCGAAAACTAAGCAGGTTTCCCCCACTATCCGAAAGTTCGTTGTCCGCCACTTCACTCTTACAGGAGGGATACGTTAGCACCTGTTCTCACTAACCGAAAGGAACCAGAAGAGGATTTTCACTTTTACGAAAAAAGGTGAAAAGTGAAAATAGCATTCAGCATTTGTTTTGCGGGGAGCCGTTCCGGAGGCTGAGCAGTGAGCATGCTGTCACATTGCAGGCCTGCCACAGCAGCCCCAAGCCCATGAGGAACCTCCACCCTCGACAGTGAGACGGGCAGACAGAGAAGAAGGTGCAGACGTCCTTGACCTGCCTGCCCTGTTGGATTCAGACACAGTGAGACCCTCTTCCTCTCTCTCCTGCACCCCAGCCTCCTGTTCCTCCCCGCTTCCCCCACCTCCGAGGTCTCAGCCTAACACATGCTTGTCACCACCAGCCCCTCTCAGCCTCCCTGTGCTCCCTGTCTTCCCGGTTGTGCTGAGTGAAACCACACTGTAGAGACCTTATCGCTCCTTTCCATGCGCTGGGTATCTATCATAGCATTCCCGTTCTGACTATGTGCCCTCGTTCTTTTAGGTTTTATGCGTTACTTAGTGTGATTTGGTAGGTTATTTTTGGGTCTGGGAACGCTTGAAGATCTTCCCATATAAATGAATGGTAACTGCCTCTTCGCCTTATGCCATTTCGGTGTACAAAAGGCTTCAGAGGGACGCTCTGCTTTCGGAGAGCAGGGACCCTGCACACCATCCTGGAGACCAAGCGCTGCCAGTGTCTCTAAAGAGCGGCCTTGCCAGTCTGGTCTCTGGCCCTCACTCGGCGGTGGGCACCCACTTTTTCAGGGGCCGATACTCTGTGATGCACAGCATAGACCCCCCCCGGGTCCCATCACTCGCCTCCCGCAGCACCAGCAGGTTGGAAATGCTCTTTGACAGCAGCCAACCTGGGGTGGGCAAGTCCCAGACGGCACTCAGGGAGGGGATTTAGTGCGGCCCTGTGAGGACGCAGAGCAACGCACGTGGCAACGCCTGGGGCTGTGTGCACCCCCCTCTTGCCCGTCCCCAGGATTGTTCTTTAAATCCTTTAAGCACTGTATAAGCCCAGGGCCTAGGGCTTCTCCAGGAACTGCAAAACGTTTCAGATAAAATCAATTAAATTGATTTCAAGATAAAAAAAATAAAGTTGCCGAGTAAAAATAAGAAATAATTTCAAAAGCAAATTCATAAACTGCCTTTCAAAATAATTTTCAACAGCATTTATATTTAAAATAGGATGCTGGAGCATTTAATATGGTTGACATCATGTGGGTGGTACCTGTAAAAGTTAGTATGCCTTAGGACTTACCGGGACCTAAATTGGTGCTCTCTCCCCACCCCCCAGAAACTCATACCAGGCCCCTCTGGGATGACTGTGGGTGGTGTGGGGACGGGTCTGTGATGTGGGATGAGGTGGAGGAGAGGCTGAGACTCCCAGTGAAAGGCAGACATGCCATTCAGGAAGGTGATCAAGAGTCCAGCTTAAAACTGGGTTCAAGGGGCTGGCCCCGTGGCCGAGTGGTTAAGTTCGCGCGCTCCGCTGCAGGCGGCCCAGTGTTTCGTTAGTTCGAATCCTGGGCGCGGACATGGCACTGCTCATCAGACCACGCTAAGGCAGCGTCCCACATGCCACAACTAGAAGAACCCACAACGAAGAACACACATCTATGTACCGGGGGGCTTTGGGGAGAAAAAGGAAAAAATAAAATCTTTAAAAAAAAAAAAAAAAAAAAACTGGGTTCAAATCTGGATTCTGCTCCTGTGTGACTCCAGGCAACTTGCTAAGCCTCTCTGAAACCTCGAGTTTATCACTGGCACAAAGGGGATCAGAATGCCTACCTCACAGGATTTTCACGAGAATTAAACAGGAGGAAGAATGTAAGGTGCTCAGCTCTGCACCTGGGGACAGTAAGCGCTTGATAAATGCAGCTCTTGTAAGGGTGCCATTCAGCAGATTCTCGTGGGGGAGGGTTGGGGAGGCTGGCTCCCTCAGGCTTTTGCTCAACTTGAGCCACAGAGAAAATATTCAGTAAGTGGATGTTGACTGGATGTGTTTTCGTTCTCACAGCTGAGAGAAAACAGCAGTGCAGAGAGGTTATGTGACTTGCTGGATCGCAGGTCCCCAGCGAGCGAGGACTGGGAGGTGAGGAGGTGGCGGGGGCCTGGATGGGGGGCCTGGGCAGCGTGGGCAGGGGTGGCTGGGGCTCCGGGAGATCACCCTGCATGAGAGGGAGCCAGGGTGCAAGGCCCCAGAGGGCAGGCGGCCCGTTCCCAGGCCCCCGTGGCCCGGGTGCCTCTCCTGCCGTTCCAGGGCGGGGGAGCAGAAATTGCCAGCTGGCATCCTAGGAATGTGGGCTGCATTGGAAAGTTAGCTAACGTTTCCCGGTGAGAGGGGCCCGATTATATTGACTCTGCCAGGAACAGAGAGACACAGAAGAAATCCCTGAGAGCTGCAGGCCTGTGTCAAAGGCAAAGCTAAGTCCGGGACAA